TTTTTTTTGCAAACAAAAAAAAATAGCTTCAAAGAAAAGATTAATTTTAGACTAAAGGGCAATATGAACGTTTGCTAATGACTAAAGGGCAATATGAACATAACATTATATTTCCATAATAACACATTTAACAAGCTGCTTCAATGAATTTACCTGGATAATGTTCAAGAAATGAATGTGTCAACTTGTTCTTGACGTTATATGTAATGTCTCTTCCATCTCGTAATTAATTCCCTACACCGAGTTGAAGATCTCTTGAGTGATGCCGTTTCACTGAGTTCCAAGAACTCCTTTTTTATCATAGGATCTTTTGAGAATTTCCATTAGCTTCTTGCTAAACACAGAGTCGAATATATCATCAGATTCAATACCATCTTCAACATCCTTGAAAAACATAACGACAAAAGGAAGCAATGTCAATAAAGAAAAGTTAGAAAGAACCAGAAAAACAAATTTGAAAACATAAGTGAAAGAGTGAAGGGTACACATACTATCATTTTCTCGTCTTTGTTTGCCTCGAACGGGAAATTGCCTCCATTAGGAAATGGATAACTACTGGTTGCAATAACATCAGGATCGGGAAAACACACTAAATCTTTCTTTTCATTCTCCTGTCGAACATCTCCTTTCTTTTGTTGGGTTTCTCTGTTCCTCAAAACAGGCTTCAGAATCGACTTATGAACTGCTCTACCATTCTCAGTCATAAATTTCTCTTGACATCCAGCAGTGTTCTCGTTGAACTGGCTCTTTGTAGACACATTGTCTCGAGGTTGTTCACGAGACAAGCTTGAGACATCCATTGCCTCGTCATTTTTTGAAGCCACGATTTCATGAACTTGTTGAGGGTTGCCTTCCTTCATAGTTCTTAATGTGTTTTCTGCTTCAGGCACTTGATTTCCCTTGGAAACATGCAATTTGTATCACCATGAGCAGCTTCACTATTGGCATAATTGCAAGTTTGTATATCATGACCCTTTTTGGAAGGGTTTGATGAGCATATTCCACTAAAATGCTTTACCAACGAGGATGCAATCAAACCCTGCATGTGCATTATTAAGAGCGTATTTAGTATGTGAAGTATTCATAAATTATGCAACAATCAAAGGCTTCACTTTATGACCTATAGAGCATGGATTTTATTAGGCAATAGTAGCTAGCATAGCTCGTGCAATTAATCAGAATTTTTATCGTATGATTAGAAAGTTAAAGCTTATAGTTCATTCCCACAAAGACAAAGATGCCTCAAATAGGATATTAAAAACAAAAACAAATGATGTGATGAAACATTGGATAAATTATCAAAGTGAGTGCTGTCATACCAGACCTATCTGGTAGACCTGCAATGTGCTGGCTGACTCTTTGCAGATACGGTAGTTTTCAATAGCATATTCAAAAAAATTTCAACCATGCATGTCGAATCTTCCTAAAACCAAAATGATAAGTCAACCAATTATTATATATTTCAGTACAATTTTGATAGACGGTGCACCGAAACAATCATAGAAGTACTCAATATTAACATGGTAGTGGAAAACATCTATTACCCAACTTATGAAAATGTAAGACTACTTTAAACAACATGTACCTTATACACAAAACTAATAGCATCAGTTAATACATCATTTTCTATACTAGCAACAAACAGATAAACTTTTGACATACAATACAAAAAATGCCTTTTATCCACCAGGTACGGAGGCCTAAGGTTAAGTTTATCAAAATCTTCCACAAATGGATCATGCATAGGAGACAAAATCTTTCTTTGCTTCAACAAACAATGAAGGGCATGAGACACATAACTACCTAGTGTTTTGTGTGCAGCAATTCTTCAATTTTTAACAGAGCATTAGTAACAAAACCATATATAAGAAAATAATATATGTTTTGACGAACACAATATAGTTGAACATGAAATGAGGTAACAATTCCAACTACACTCTACATAGGCAAAAGCTCTAATAAGTGGCGCATGTTAAAAACATCGCTTACTGAAAGATCCAAAACTTTGCCGAGTTATGCTGTAACCGCCTTTAAAATAGCATGGAGACTCTTCTGTGATTCGCACAGATTTTTTCTCCACTCATCGCTAGCTAACTCCTCAAGAATTTCAAAGATATGACTGCCCAAAGAATCAAAAGCATAACTACATGATGACTATATGACTTTTGGTGACTCCAAATCTCTTGTAGGAAAGATAGTCAGCGAAGTAGATGTAAAAGTCAATGAACACTAGATGTATAGGAGCAGAAATTGAATTATTTTACCCATGTGATCATTTCCAGAGGTTTTTTCATTGTTATCTACTGGGGGATCAGTGACATTGGCAGAAGCCTTCTTTCGCTTATTTATATTTCTATCATTATCAATTTCGACAGTCTCTTCAGAATGCTAGACATTCCAATATTTTGCACCCACCACTTTAGTCTTTATGTACCGTTTGCCAGTCTTTATCACCAAAAAGTCTAAAAAGAACTGGATATGGAACGAGAAAACCCAGTAATAAAAGTGGTCGTGGAGAAAGAGACTTATTGTACTGAAGATAAACGTTTCAAGCTGAAGTGCTAAAATTAAATTCAAGCAAAATGAGTTGTCATGTCTTTCATTAGAATCGATAATACATAAAGAAAAGTGCTAAAATTAAATTTCAGAAAAGCAAATGACTTGTTATGTTTCTTCATTTTTTTTTTGCTAAACGTCTCTTCATTTCAATTAATCAATTTGTTTTTCAGAAAAGCAAAATAAGTTGTCATGTCTCTTCTCATCATACAAACTAAATGGAAATTTTTGTTTTCAACAGATTGCCGAAATGCGCAAAATGAAGTGTGTCTTGTTTCAGTCTCTTCAAGGTGAGTAAAAATCTATTTGTGACACACGCATTAGTTGTTGAAACATGCTTCTCAGTAAAAGAAACCTAGGATTTATGGTCTTTGGATTTGATAAAGAGATGAGTGCCTTGTTGAATTTTAGACATTCCAATATTTTGCATCCACCACTTTAGTCTTTATGTGCCGTTTACCATTCTTCATCATCAAAAAGTCTAAAAAGAACTAGATATGGAACGAGAGAACCCAGTAACAAAAGTGGTCGTGGAGAAGGGTACTTATTGTACTGAAGATCATTGTTTCAAGGTGAAGTGCTAAAATTAAATCAAAGAAAAATAAGCTGTCATGTCTTTCATTAGAATCGATAATACATAAAAAATGCCAAAACTAAATTTTAGAAAAGAAAATGACTTGTTATGTCTCTTCATTTCTTTTTTCTTTGCAAAATGTCTCTTCGTTTCAATCGATCAATTTATCTTTAGAAAAGCAAAATAAGTTGTCATGTCTCATCTCATCATACAAACTAAAGGGAATATTTTGTTTTCAACAGATTGCCGAAATGCGCAGAATGAAGTGTGTCTTATTTCAGTCTCTTCGAGGCGAGTAAAAATCTGTTTGTGACACACGCATTAGTTGTTGAAACATGCTGATCAAGAAAAGAAATTTAGGATTTATAGTCTTTGGATTTGATAAAGAGACGAGTGCCTTGTTGAATCTTAGACATTCTAATATTTTGCATCCACCACTTCAGTCTTTATGTGCTGTTTGGCAATTTTCATCACCAAAAAGTCTGAAAATAACTGGATATGGAACGAAAGAACCCAGTAACAAAAGTGGTCGTAGAGAATGGTACTTACGGTGAAGTGTTAAAATTCAAAGCAAAATGAGTTGTCATGTCTTTCATTAGAATCGATAATAAATAAATAAAAATGCCAAAATTAAATTTCACAAAACCAAATGACTTGTTATGTCTCTTCATTTTTTTTTGCTAAACGTCTATTCATTTCAATCGATCAATTTATTTTTCAGAAAAGCAAAATAAGTTGTCATGTCTCATCTCATCATACAAACTAAATGGAATATTTTTGTTCAACAGATTGCCGAAATGCACAAAATAAAGTGTCTTATTTGAGTCTCTTCGAGGCGAGTAAAAATATGTTTGTGACACACGCATTAGTTGTTGAAACATGCTGATCAAGAAAAGAAACCTAAGATTTATGGTCCTTGAATTTGATAAAGAGACAAATGCCTTGTTGAATCTTAGACATTCCAATATTTTGCACCCACCACTTTAGTTTTTATGTGTCGTTTGCTCGATAACTCAGTCCAAAGACTTATAGCTAATGATAATTTGTTTTCTACCTAGGATTTTGCCAAATATATCGATGTTATTTTATTTTGATAGCTAATGATTATGGTGTTATATACATTTGATGGTCTTTGATGATTTCATACGTATTGCTGTTATTAGGTGAATTCTAATATGAATCGTAATCTAATATTTCACCATATGTGAAACACGAAAATTTTAAAAAATTAATTATATATGCCATAATAAATTTATAATTTAAATATTTATAGAAATAGTGATTTTTATATTTCTATTAAATAACTAAATTTGGTGATTTTTTTATTTGTATTACAGAATTATTAGGTAATATCAGTTTTTTACTTTGAAAACGCAAAATATACAAACAAAATGGTAGTACTCACATCACTCGACCAACAAAAACTAAACAATTGTAAAAACAAAAAAAGTCTTTCTTATTTTAAGACCTCAATGCTAACCTTAAATGCTAAGAAATTAAAATTTTGGATTACTAAAAGAAAATTTAGAGAAAAATATGGTATTTTACTTAATTAACAAATATATTGCTGGATTTTATGAATAGAGAGCCCAGGGTTGTTTTGTTTCCCTGTACGCCTTTATAATTTCTTCCACAGCTCTTTTGCCTCCCTCTCCGAAATTTTCTCTCATTTTTCTTCCTCGTCCCATCGCTTTCTCGGATTTTCTCGGCGACTTTCTTCCCTCCCAAGCTGCTTCGTTCCGTTTTCCCACCTCTGAATCCCCGAGAGATCGCTCTTGATTCTCTCTTCTTCCTCTCCGATCTGTTACTCTTTTACTGGTACGTGATCGGGACTAGTCCGCTTTTCCACCATTCTCTTTTGCATATACACTGAATCGATTTGGAATCATTCCTTGGTGTTGCACACTTTAACTGATGTTGATGTTGATGTTGATGAGATTTCGAAACCAGAGAGTTTTACTTTTTCTCCGCCCTTCGAAGGATGATTTCAATTTCGGTTTTGCTTCTGTTAGATTGGCATGGAGGAGAAAATTAGGCTTATGAGTGATTCTCTGATAGATAATTGAGAAACGAATACTGTTCCACCACCATGTGTGATTGATTGATTTATATGTATTTTGCTCAGGGGAAATTAGGTTCAGTACTGTATCAATAGGGATTTTGTGTTTTTTTGTTTGTTTGCAGTCGGATTTGATGGAGCTGGTGAAACAACAAGATGGGAATGATTCTCTCGATATGCTTATCAGACGTGCTGTTGGAAAAGACCCTTTTCTCTCTTTCCCTAGACCTGAAAACAGTCCAGTCCAGCTCTTTCAACTTCTCCATACCTTAGAACGTCCAGGTAATCATAATTTCCTTAATGTCTCTCATCTGATTGGATTTGGACATTTTCGCTGACCTAGCATTGGAATGATCGGATCGGTTTTATCATCGTATTAACTCCCTTGAATTTCTAGATCAAATTGATGGTTTGAATAGCATGTGTCCTGGACTTTATTTGATGTTCTATTTCGATCCCAGGTTGGCCGTTGTTGACTCCTTTGAAGATACAGATGCAGAAGTGTGAAAAGTGCACCAGGGAGTTTTGCTCTCCTGTGAACTACAGAAGGCATAACCGTATGCATCGGCGTTTAAAAAAGCCTGAAAAGGTTTGCTTAGACTGAACTTAATTTCTGCTATCTTGAATTTATGCCTTTCAATGTCCTGGTTGCGTTAGTCTTTTTTTTGTCCTTCAAAGTCATCTAAAGATTGTGTGTACATGTTTCCAGGATTCTGGCAAAGAGAGGGATGCTCTGGGAGCCTTTTGGAATAAGGTAGTTTTCCTTCTAGTCGTCTTCTCACAGTTGGTTGCCAATTCAATTAGTGTTTCCTTTAGGTAATGATCATGTTTAATCTCTGTGGTTATTTTCAGCTCTCTGTAGTTGATGCAAAGGAGATTCTCTCACTAAAGAGCGTGATGCTGGAGGTAGTATGATTCCCATTGATGCTTTCCCATTTTTTTTGCAAAATCTTCTGCTTATCTTATGAGTGTGGCGTAGTATGTTCATCAGTCTTCCCAATGACTCATTTCATTGTTGTTTGTCACATCTTTTCTAAGGGCACTGACTCTTATTAATGCCTGAATGCTTATTTTCTTCATTAGTGCAAGGTGTGATACCAGAATAAAACTGTTATGTATGTCTCCGTAGAATCCCAGATGACTTCATCGGTGTTATACGTTTCATTTCCAAATCAATACGTTTAGTTATAAAGCTAGAGTTACCATACCTTATTTGTTTGCGTACTCTCACATGCCTGTTGAATATGCATACCTAGTCCATGCTGTACATGTCTATTCTCTAGCAATCTGCATCATGGACCTGTGTTACTCATTAATATGCTTTGTAGACATTTCCAACTCAAGATACTTTGTTTGGATTCTTGTAGGAAGTCCCTGGTGCATCAGTTGAGTCGGGACTAGTGTCACTTATTGAAAAACCAGGATATACTGCTCTCCCTCAATATTATCTAAGAGCTGGTTCTGAACTTTTGGTATGAATTTCATCTCTCCCTTTTTGGTTTTATTCTTACCTTTCCGAAAAAAAATCTCAGCAATGTTCAATCTCATGGCTGATATACGTTCCTTTTTCTTCAGGATATTGTCCAGGCTAGACCACCTAGGTTTCCAATTTCTTCACAGGAACTTTTTAGCATTCTCGATGATGCAAGTGAAAAGACTTTCTTGAGTAATGAGGCTGCACCAATTCAAAAATACATTTTTGACGGGGAAACTGGAAAAAATGTGCTGGAGGCTAAAAATGTCGTTGCTTGCGCAAGCTTCCTTCTGGAACAGCGATTGGTAAAGTTATTCCTTCATGGTTTCACAACTCCTCTCTAGTTGGCAAAGCAAAGTATCTGATATGAGGACTTTTGCTTTGCTTGAATTTGTTGCATTATTGATTTATGTTTTTTTTTTTAATATAAAGATTAAAGCATGGCTTGCTGACAAAGATGCGGAAGCTTTGAGGTGCCAAAATTTACTGGTTGAAGAGGAAGAAGCTGCACGAAGAAGGTATGTGCTAATTAATCGCAATGTCAGTCATATATATCCAAGATTCTCTAATTTTAAAACGCAAGTGTCAAGTCTTATTTTAACTGGTATTATTTCCGGAGCAGACAAGCTGAGCTCTTAGAGAGGAAGAAGAGGAAGAAGCTGAGACAGAAAGAACAGAGAGTAATGGACCAGAAAAAATATGCTAAGGAAGATGTGAGTACCACATCGGAGGAACAGCAATCTCCAGCTGAGTCTTCGAGCCCGTTATCTGTAACTTCTGATTCCGAGGCACAAAGATCAGATTCCATACCAATTGAGGATTCTTCATCCCTCGAGGATCCTCAGATTTTGGAACCGGACAATGGGATAAACGGTGAACCTCAGGCGTCCATGGTTGATGGTAATGGTTTTGGCAATAGCCAAACCATGGAAAGGCGAAGTGGGCGCAGGCAAATGGAAAGATCACAACAGGGAATTCCGAATGGGTTCCATGGTAATCATGCTCCGAAACCTGGAGGCATGAGAAAGAATGGAACTAGCAGAGACGCAAGAGGCAGTACTACTAAAGTTTGGAGCCGAAAAGCTGATAATCCCAAATTGATATCAACAGATGCAGCAGTGACTCAGCTTGATCAAACAAAGAACAGTGAAGTTCTGATTGGGTCGGTCAGTGTAACAATCCGTAACAGCTGTCTCAGCGGAGAACATAACCAAACAAAATGCGGTGAAGAGGAAGTAAGAGCAAAGACTGTTGAGGCGAAACCAATATCTGAGCAATCAACTGTAAAAGTATGGAGACCAGTGAGCAGTCAGGGACGCAAAGTCTCAACACCCGATGAAAACAGAGACAAAGAAGATAAGAAGTCAAGCGCAACTGCAGCTGAAGTAAATACCGCTCATCATATTAGCTTGCAGTTCAACAACCACGAAGCAAAGGCGTTTCTTGCAAAGAGTAAGTCTGTTTTTTCGTTTTTTCAGTCTCTTTATGGTCTACTTTATATATTTTCAAGTAGTTGACGCATCTGAACGGCTTGTCAGGATGGAAAGAGGCAACTTCTTCAGAACATGTGACATTGGTTCTGTCTCAGGAAACAGAGATTGCACGCAACAACACTCACGAATCATCAAATGGTGCTATAACCGTGAGACCAAAGGTCAGGACGAAACCCGAAAAGGGCATGAAAGTAAAGTATGTTCCGAAACAGAGATCCCCTGAATAATTTGAACTAAAAGAGGAGCTCATTTCTGGACAAGAGAATCATTCTTTTTAGGTATACCAAAAGTGCAGTTTTAGCGAGAGAGAGAGAGATCGTGCTTTTTTTTTCTTCTTCTTTTGCTTCTAGAGAGATTTGTCTCGATTTTAAGAATCTTCATTCTTTTCTTCTTACCTTTTTATTTGATAGAAAGAGGATTGATTTGTTCTTTTGTTTACCTTTTTGCCATAGTGAGGGTTTAAAACTTGAAACTTTTGAAATGGCTCAAATTTTTTTTGTGTAATCATAAATTTGTGTCCCCACCTTATAGAGCTTTCTTTACTCTCTCACTTGAAACCTGGTTACAAATTTGAATTGCAGTGGTTAGCTCAAGTTTTGGTTATCAACTTACTGTAAAATCTCGAGAAGAGAAGTACGGAACTATGTTAGCTAACTAAAAAAATATAGTTCCTGGGAAACCTGAGAATTTTAAAAAGGACTTTTATGCTCATATTTAAGCAGAACCAAAAAAAAGAATGCAAATGTAACAGTCTATTATTTTACACGAAGCTTGTTAAAGTGATCCAAAGAATATTATTTTATGAATACATTAACTAAAAAGATACGAGTACAAAGATTCCTACAATGCAAAGCTACATATGTATAGTTTTGTTAGACCCCAATCTCTTACCATATCACAGACTGAATTTGCTTCCAATGTTAGAGGTTTTTTGTTTCATCTTTTCCACTTTCTCAACTGAGTCCAGACCGTAACAGCGGAAAGAAACTCCAACCGTGTCCTGGACTCTGATTTTTCTCTATCAATTCATCTTTTGTGCTATCAAACTTGAATTCTTTGCTTGACCCTAGCGAAAACGATTTTAGCTTCTGACTCTTCTCGCTCTCAAAAACCTCCCCGTTCTGTCTCTGTGTTCCCCAAACCTCATTCGCCTTTTCATCTAAACCGGATTTGTTTAGCTTGCTTGCAAGACACCTTGCAACGTCTTCACCCGTCAACTCGAAAGATACTCTGTGATCAACCGCCACAGCTTCCTCATGATGCCTTGACGACCCGTAATCCGAATTGGCTAAAGATGCAACCTCAGAGATCTGACTATCCAAAACGCTGCTTTCAAGTGGTGTGATATTTCCAGAACCAATTCTCGAAACCATCTCTGCACCATTTGGTGTCACAGCACCAGAAGCAAGCATTGAGCCAAGGCCTCCACCACCATCAGGTGTCAGAGCACCTGAACCCAACCTAGACCCTTGACCAGCAGGTGTGATGGATCCAGAACCGAATCTCGATCCCCATTTACGCACTGTGAAGTGTTCAAAACCAAGAAACTTTGGAGGCTCCCCTATACGGAACTCAATGATTGAGCATTTCCCTGGGTAAGGAGAGGATGTACCTGAGTTTGAGATCACTGAACCAGGGGAGATTAAGTTACCACCTGGACTTCCTGGATACACTTGATGAGACTGAAACTCATAGTGCGCAGCTGAGAACTTCTGATTCATTCCTCCACCATTCCTCCGAGCTCGTTCCAAGGAAGATGTCAACAACTGAGCAAAAGGCACATCAGGGGAAGAAGGTGTTGTAGTAGTACTCAAGTGAGCTGATTCTGGAGGCGGAGTCAATGGCGCAGTGGATGGCTCCGTTGTGAAAGCAGAGAAGACAGGAGGAGTAACGGGTTGAGTTTCATGAGCGTAAGGTCCAATAGCAAAAACAGAAGGCGGTTCATTTCGAGAATATGTATTGACGGTTAGCGAAAGTAGACCAGCAGCAGCAGGTGTATGGGACACAGATGGTGGACCTGATTGTAGGAATGATGCAGGAGATGAAGGAGGAGCTATAAAGGGAAGAAATATCGAAGTTGAATTAGTCGAAGAGTTTTGGAGTTGAGCCACAACTCCACTTGAAGATGAAGCTGGTTCGGGTACAAGCACCGCATGGCCAATCCGTTTATTGTTCTGTTTTTGGGATCCAAAACACCAGTACAAGCTCCAGCAACTTCCCCATCTTCTCTTCTAAAGTTTAATTATGACATTCAAAATACATGATTCTTCATCAGCTACTCAAAATCTGTTTAACTTGATTAATTCCGTAACGTAGAAACATACAAACAAAAAACTGCAATCACGATGCTCTGTTGTCAAAGCAAACAATGTTGAACATAAAAGAGCTCATAGTAGTACCTGCACAGACGACGGTTGTGCTCGAGACT